GTGAGAATTGAAAAGGAAAATCAATACTGTATCATTTACAGATGATATATCTACAGAGAAGACTTAAAGACGTCTATAGGTAAATTATTAGAAACAATAGGAGAGTTTAAGAAGATTTCAGATTTCAGATCAACATATAAAAATCAATTGTTTTTCTCTGTACAGCAAAAATGAGAAAACAACATATACGATAACATTTAAAACAGCAAGAAAAAGTATAAGGTATATAGGAATAAATGTCACAAGATATGCAAGACCTAGATAAAGGCATTTATGAAACCTTATTGAAAAGGACCTAAACGAAAAGATTTATTTATAGATAGGCCACTCAAGATAAAAAAATATGTCAGTGCTCCCCAAGTCATTCTATACATAGATCCATTGAGGTTTTCATGATCTCAGTAGTTTTGGATGAATTTGACAAGCTGATTTCTAAAATGTATATATAAGAGCAAAAAAGCAGGAATAGTGAAGACATTCTTAAAGGAAGGGGAGAAAAAGATGAGAGCTCCTCCCAGCACATGGCAAGACTACTATAAAACTACAGTAATTAAAATTCTGCAATTGTAATGCAGGTACAGACGAATTGACCAGCAGATCCAAAGAGAAAGCCCAGAGACAGATACACACACCTAAATAGAAACCAGATATATGACAAAACGCCATGGCATATCATGAGGAAGGAGGGGAGGCAGTGAACAACTGGTGCCAGGACAGATGATTTTCAGTATGGGAAAAAGAGGAACTTAGATCCCTACCTCACACCTTATGCAAACATCAATTCTGGATGTCAGAAAAATTTAAATGTAAAAGACAAAGTTTTCAATTTGTTAGAAAAAAATTCTTTCTGACCTCAGGGAGAGAAGGAATATCTTATGACACACAAAAAATCACTCCATTCAATTATATTAGAATTAAGGAATTCTATTCATTAAAAGACCATTTTAGGCCGGGCACGATGTGTAATCCCAGCACTTTGGGAGGTCGAGGTGAGAGGATTGTCTGAGCCCAGGGGTTCGAGACCAGCCTGGGCAACATGGCGAGACCTCGTCTTTACAATAAATCAAAAACTTAGCTGAACGTGGTAGCGCACACCTGTAGTTTTGGCTACTGGAAAGCTGAGGCAGAAGAATCTCCTGAGTCAGCAAGATCTCCTGAGTCAGCAAGTTGACGCTGGGGTGGCCATGCGTGTGCCAGTGCACTCCAGTCTGGAGAGTGAGACTCCAACTGAAAAAAAAAAAGACCATTTTAAAAAGTAAAAAAGACAGCCACTAATTGGGAGGAGCTGTTTGCAATACTTAATGACAAAGGTTTAGAATACAGAATAAAACATTAATAAGTCAATTCATTTAAAAAACAGGCAGAGTACATGAAAAAAACATATCATTGATGAAGACACAGGAATAGCAAACACCCAGAAAGATGCCCAACTCCGTTACAAAGTAATCAAATTAAGACTACATCTTAGACCTCTAGTTTGGCAAAAATTAAGATATCTGACAACAGCAAGTATCGATATGGATGTAGAGAAATGGGGATAGTCATATACAGCTGGTGGGATATTAATGATGGAGGTGACGCTTTGGAAAACAATTTTACATTACAGTGTAAAGTTGGCAGTTTGCATACTGTGCAGTTCAGTGAACAACTTCACTCCTAGGATTATCTCTGCAACATAATTTTTCAAAGAAGAGTGTGACCTATTATGGAGCCTAAGAATTTTCTTTTTGAGTTGGAATCTCACTCTGTCGCCCAGGCTGTGCCATGGCATGCTCACGACCACCCCAGAGTCGTCCTGCTGGGCTAATAGGATCCTTCCGCCTCAGCCTTCCAAGTAGCCAGAACTACAGGCACATTGCCATGCCTGGCTAATTTTTGATTGATTGTAGAGATGAGGTCTTACCAAGTTGCCTGGGCTGCTCTTGAACCCGTGGGTTCAGGCAATCCACTCGCCTCGGCCTCCCAAAGTGCTAGGATTATAGGATGAGCCACTTGAGCCCAGCCAGAATTTTTTTTTAAAGGAAACAAAGTTGAATAGAAAATAGGGTATCTCATTGATAGTGAGGGTATTGTTTTGTGATTCTGTTTCTGGGATATATGAATATGTGTTTGTATTAGGTTGCAATGTAAAATGTATTTTTTATGAGAATGGTGGCCAAAAGAATTGAAAAACAGTTTCCTTGAAATTCTTGCATGCATGCCCTGGCAACATACACAAAAGATGTTCACAACTCCATTTTTTTTTTTAGATTAGAAAATATAGTTTATTTAGAAAGTAAATTAAAGAGAGAGAAAGAGGAGATTCACCTCCCCAAGGTGGGAGTAGGGGGCAAAGCCAGGAAACATGGCCTGGTCATAGCTCTCAAAGAGCACATAACCATACCAGAGCTTAGCAGGGCAATGGCCAACTCCATTACTTATGATAGCATAAAATTGGGGGGAAAACAGATGTCCACTGGCAGGAAAATGGATCAATACATGATAAGTTACCTGCAAAATGGAATATTACACAACACTGAAAATGAACTGTAGCTACGTGTAATAATATGAGTGAATCTCAGAAACATAATGTCAAACAAAAAAAGCAAGTGCCAGAAGACTGTAAACAACATGATATAAAGCTCAAAAAGCTACATTAAACAATGTTATTTAGATATATGTAAATGTTAAATATATTTTTTAAAAGAAGAGCAAGGTGTGTATCCATACGACGGCCATAAAAAAGGAATAAAACACCAATACAAGCTATAATGTAGATGAACCTTGGAAACATTATGCTAAGTTGAAAACCAGACACAAAAGTCCACATATTTTATGATTTCATTATACAAAGTGTCCAGAATGGATAAACCCATGGAGACAGAAAGTAATCCAGTGCTTTGGGAGGCGAAGGTAGGAGTATTTCTTGAGGCTAGAAGCTTGAGATTACCCTGAGAAACAGAGTGAGACCCTGTAGTTCTACAAAAAAAATTTTAAATTGCTGGGTGTGGTGGCACACGCCTGTGGTCTAGCAACTCAGGAGCCTGAGGTGAGAGGACTACTTGGGTCCAGGAGTTCGAGGTTGCTGTGAGCTCTGGTCATGCCACTGCACTCCATCCTAGATGATGACAGAGCAAGACCCTGTCTTTAAAAATTAAAAAAAAAAAAAAAATGGTTGTCAGAGTCTGGGGGAAGGGCTAGGGAGTGACTGTTAATGGGTTCAAGGTTTCTTTGGGGATAATGAAAATGTTCTGGAATTATATAGTGGTGATGGATGATTTACCTTGTGAATATACTCAAAAGCACTGAATTATGCATTTTAAAATTGTAAATTTTGTAGTATGTGAATTATATATTTTTTTACTGTGGTAAGAGCACTTAACATGAGATCTACCCCTTAACGTAGTGTGAAGTGTACAATACAGTGTTGATAACTACAGGTGCAATGGTATATGGTATATGAATACATCTAGAATGTATTCATCTTGGACAACTGAAATTTGTATACCCGTTGATTGGCAGCTTTTTAAAAAGAGGGGCAAGGGAATGCTTACAAATATATATTCAAGATACTGAGCACCTCTGGAAGAGAGGCAGGGTGCTAAGAGGGAAATGCAGGGTATAATACAGCAGTATTTTCAAAGCTCTAGTCCATAGGTTACTTATTTATTGGGTGTTTATTACTGTGCTTCATTATATGTGTGTGCTCCGCATATTTCATACATACAAAATATATTGTAAACACTAAAAGAAATATAAATATGAAGTGAGATGGCATTAAAAGAAAATAACTGCGCTTTGACAGGCTTTTTGAATCACTCCTGAGTCGAGGGTGTGGGCCTTGGCAAGGCTCTGGATGCAGTCGTTCTGACCCCTGGTGGCTGAGAGGTGAAGTGCAGCTGGGGCTCCTCGCTCTTGGCCCCGGGAAAAGACTTGAGCGTGCTCAGAGCAATCGTCCTGGCCACTAGACAGATGTTCAGGGGTTCAGGACGCTACCAGTGTCACCTTACATGGAAAAGAGAAAACACTTTGGACTTTCCTGGTTCAGGCTCCTTTTTGCTCCTCTCTGGCTCTTCCTTACACTCCTTTAAGTCCAGGAGTGAGGTGCGTGTACCTCCGTTGAAATGTCTCCCTAGGTGGGACCAGCTGGCCCTGCCTCCACCCAGATGACTCACCCTGGGGACCACCCACCCCAGAGACCACAGCCAATGTGCTGAGCAGAGGTCTCAGCATCTTCGGGGGAAGAAGAAGCCGGGGTGCCGATGCTCAGAGAACTAGTCTCCAAACTCCTTTTTGTTTATTTAAACCACCTTTCTGGAGGATTCTGAACTAATGCCTCCAGGAAGGATTGATGTGGTCACTTAAGAGGTGAGATATGAGGGATGCCTTAAGGGAGAGTATCAGCATTTCAGGGTTTACCATGGAAAGTCCAGGAAACAGCAAGTCTCTGTCCCCAATCCGCTGGCTGGACTAGAAGGACATTGGTTTACCGGCCACATCTAGTCTACTATAAAGAGAAACTTCTGGCAGGGGATGTTGTCTGTGAGAACCAGGCAGGAAGGTCCCAGGCATCTAAACAAACTAGAAGTGGCCACAAATAAGTGGCCTGGAGAGAGGAGCTCAGGTGAGATCACCTCCCAAATCCTTATGATAGTGTGACTTTGCCACAGAGGCAGTGCAGCCAAGAAATTACTGTGCTGAGTTAGGATGTAGTCTCGGCTACTCACTTTGGCATCACTTAACCTCCTTAAGCTTCGGGTCCTTGTCCCGCAACATGATTTAGTTGTAGTGCCTGCTAATTGTCCTGATTCAATTGTACTAATTGAGTTAATGCATGTAGAACATTCTGTAAGAGGCCAATAAACGTCAAGCGCTTCTGCTCAGGCTGCTGGAACTCCGAGTCATGAGTGCTCAGAGCAGAGGTGGGAGTTTGTCTCAGCCCCAGTCAGTCTGATGGCTGGAGCTGAGAAATGGGGGGTCTCCTATCCAGAGAATCACTTTTTTCCTCCCTCTGTTCCCAGACGCCATGGAGGTGGTGCTGATCTTTTTATGTAGCCTGCTGGCCCCCGTGGCCCTGGCCAGTGGTAAGTATCCCTCAGGACCTGGCTGTGACAAGATGGTAGCCCTAGACAGCTCTTTCTGTTGGAAGCTTCTGGCCCTTTGGGACATTAGGGTTGGGGGGCTCTCAGGCTCTTCGTGTCCAGCCATGTCCCTCCCTTCAGTCAGCAGAAAAAGTCAAGGAAGGCAGCAGCTATCTATTCAGAGACCCCAACCCAGCCTGCACCCTCTCCCCACAAGTGTCCAGCAGAGTCTCATTTTAAACCCTCCAAGCCCACCAAGCCCCTGTGGACTTCTGGTCTGAACCTAGGAATTCGAACCTGCACTTCAGTCTCTAGGTCATGATTTACCAGCTCTGACCTCCTGCGAGTCACACATTCTTCCCTGGTCTCAGTTTCTCCATCTGTCACAAGAGGGAGGATAGAGCCTGCCTTTGGGGGATGATTCAAGAGCCCAAATGGGCAATAAACATGGGTGTGCCATGAAACCTCCCTGTGGCTCCAAGTCACCCCCTTGCCCTCGACCCTCAGGGTGATACTCACCAGAAGGCCTTCTCTCAGCACCTCTGCTAATGGGCCCTGCTTCCCAGGACTCTCTTTTTTTATTTGAGTTGGAGTCTCACTCTGTCGCCCAGACTGGAGTGAAGTGGCCGCTCCCGGCCACCGCAGCCTCGACCTGCTGGGCTCCGGCGATCCTTCCGCCTCAGCCTTCCGAGTAGCTGGAACTACAGGCGAGCGCTACCACACCCCAGGACTCTCTTTGAGGGGTCTGAGATCTGTGAGGCGAGGGAAGGTGTTTAGGAACCAGGCTGTGTGTGGCTGTCTCCCTTTGACCACGTGTTTCTTTTTATAGCAGCTGAGAAGGAGAAGGAAATGGACCCATTTCATTATGGTGAGCGTTGGCCGCGGCAACCCCGGGTGCAAGGTGGGGGTGGGGAGTGCAGCCTCGTCCAGGGAGGGACAGACCTTCTTCCTGGCCCTGCCGCTTTTGCTGTCCCTCACTCTTGGTTCCTTTGGCAGACTACCAGACCCTGAGGATTGGGGGACTGGTGTTCGCCGTGGTCCTCTTCTCTGTTGGGATTCTCCTCATCCTCAGTAAGTGTATTTGTTTCTTGGTTCACTCCATAAGAGCAATGTCATGGCTAAGGCTGCTAAACAGGGGGACAGGGTGAGAGCCTAGACATTCTTTCTCTCCAGAGAGGGAAGGAGACTCTCTGTCTTCCATGTTACATCTGGGACTGAATGCAGTGCTGGGCACAAAGTAAGTGCTCAGTAAAACAGTGAAGCATGAACAAAGAAAATGCCACATAGCAATAAGCATAGATAAGGGACAGGGTGGTCTCTCAGAGCTTATTCAGAGGGTATGTGTGGGGCAGTCACAGGACATAGGAGTGCACTCCCAGGGATGTGCCCCTGCAATTATTTTTCCCATGTGAGCTTAGTCTGCACTTGCATGATCTAGTGAGATATAGTGATGTAGCCGTCTGAACTGTTGAATATAGATGAATCCTACCCCACAAGCAAGTGCACTACCCAGGTCTAGGGGGTGCCATTTACATAGTCCCACGACCTGCCTGGACTCACAGGACAGCCTTGCTGTGGCCAAGTCAGGAGCATGACCTTGAGCTCATGCCAGGAGGATGAACTTGGATGGTTTCTTTGCCTTTCAGGTCGCAGGTGCAAGTGCAATTTCAATCAGAAGCCCAGGTAAGGATGCCATGACAATGGACATTGAGGGTGATATTAGGAGGGACAGGAAGGGGCTCCTATTGTGTGACCCCAAATGGGTATTCTCTTGGATTCTTGTCTCAGAAGCAGAGTGTGTTGGGGCATGGGGGTAGAAGTTTGAGGGTTGCCAGGCAGACTTTGGGGCAAAGGAGAGGTCAAAGCATTGAGGGTTAGTTAGCCCATTCTGCCTTTCTGATGTATATGGGGGGAGGCAAGAAGGTGCTAGAAACTTGCCTAGGGGCCCTTGAGACAATTGAGCTTGGGAGAAGGAAAACGGAGGGCTTTCAGTCCTCTCTTGACACCCAGGTCCTCTCTATAGGACCTCTGGCACTGCTTTCACTTTTCACCTGTTTGTGAGGCTCTTTGAGCTGAGTAGACACTTGGACTTCCTTTCTACCCCTATGTAAAGGTCATACCCCATTAATCCACCACAATAGCCAAGGGTAGCTGAACCTCAGAAGTCCAAAGCCTGTGGCAGGACACACCCAAGGCCCTATGTGACCCTAGGCCACCTCTTCCCAGTACTTAGTTCTCTCGGGGGCTGACATTGAAGAGTCCCATGAGTTCCTTCTAACGCTGACCCTCGAGTCCTGACTTCCCCCTCCGCCCCTTGTGTTCCATGGTACAAAGTGCCCAAGCTCCTCTGAACACACGGAGGACAGTGGTCCTGGGCAGCTCAAGTGGTGATGCTTTCCTGGCTGGCCCTGGAGGCCTCTGACAGGGCTATGTGTCTCTTTCCCTTTCAGGGCTCCAGGAGATGAGGAAGCCCAGGTGGAGAACCTCATCACTGCAAATGGTAACTGCCGGTGGCCACCTATCCAGACAGAACGGAGGGGATGAGGAGGCTTCTTGTGTGGCTCAGTGCGGGGACTGTCGCCAGGTGCATGGCCTCCCTAGAGCCAGCCCGATGTGCTCCTGTCATTCCAGGAGAGGGCTCTCCAGGGCCTCTGAGGCGTTGCCCCCGTGTCTCCACCAGACAGGCTACTGCTGGTGACATGTGCTCTGGACAGAGCATCTGCTTGGCAGTCACAGGCCCCATCTCACCTAACGTGCCCATGAGGTAGCATCACTGTCTGGACGATGAGAGGTTAAGGAGCACACCCACATTCTTAGAACCAGCAGAGTGAGGATTTGCATCCAGGACATTCTGAGTCAAAATGTTGCATGCGTTGACCCTTGGTGCCCCCAGAGTCAGGCGTAGGCATGGCTGCTGTGGGGGTGGCCCGCTGGGCTGAGGGAGGGGTCCAATCACTACAGCCTATTCTGGTCTTCTTTCCAGCAACAGAGCCCCAGAAAGCAGAGAACTGAAGTGCAGCGCTCAGGTGGGAAGGTGAGAGATGCCTGGATCTGCCCTGTCACTTTCACTGGCACTGTCACTGTTTGCACCGAGGCCTGGGCGGCAGGGGGGCCCGGCAGGAAGTATTGGGCTCGCCTTTGCAGTGGGCACGGATTTTATTATGAGCCCTGTTCTGAGAAACCTTTCAGGAGTCTGAAAGAAGACCAGGACCAGAAACCCCTGGTCTGTTTCAGGGGCAATGAAACAGACCAGGATCATAAACCCCTGAGGTGTCCCACACACCCAAGGCGTTCCTGAAAGCACTAGAAAATAGAGCTTCCACATGGCCCAGGCGTCAGGCTCACAGGGCCCATGTGGGAGACCACCAAAGTTAGTAGAATTCTCCTAATATCAAATAGCATAAGATAATGGCTTTCAGTGATGATTTAGGAAGTACTTTAGGGCCCTTTTTTTTTGAGTCAAAGTTTCGCTCTCACCCTGGCTGGAGTGCAGTGGCACACTCAGGGCCACCGTAGCCTTAACCTGCTGTACTCAGGTGATCCTTCTGCCTCAGCCTTCCAAGTAGCTGGAACCACAAGTGTGAGTCACCACATCCAGCTAATTTTTTTACTTATTGTAGAGACAAGGTCTCATCAAGTTGCCCAGGCTGGTCTCAAACCCCTGGGCTCGGGCAATCCTCTGCCTTCCAAAGTGCTGGAATTACAGGCGTGAGCCTCTGCACCCAACTTTTTAGGATCATATTTTTAAAAAACACTTTATGGTGAAACTTTCCAACCCTAAAGTAGGGCAAATAATATATGACCCCTCCCCCTACCAGCATTATCACTTCTCAACATTTGGGAGCATTATTCTTAGTACCCATTTCCATTGTCCCTTGTAGGGGACACAGGAAAATGGGACCTGGTAAATGCCTTATGATGCTCAGTGCTACCACACACACAAGCTCACGTGAGTAGACCAGAGATGCAAATAGCACAGGTGTGGTTTAGCCCCATTTTATAGATGAAGAAACTGAGATCAGAGAGAAATGGCCCTATGGACAGGAAGTGACAGCCTGGGCCTTGAACTCAGGTCTTCGTGGCTGTCCCTCAGTGCTTTTTCCACTACGCCTCTCTGTCCTGTCTGTCTCCCTTTATGACATGCCCTGGAATATACTGAGGGAACAGGTCAGTCTTTGTTAGCTCATGCCTGCCTTTTTTAAAAAATGCACTTAGAGCATCACAGGTAGGTACAGGTGATAACTTGGTCCTAACTGTGAGTTACAGGAGATTTCTGGATGATGAGATGCCTGGTGCACCAGCTTCCACACTGATCATTACAGTGCCATACACCTGTGTAGCTTTTTAATTCTTTCCTAAGTGCTTTCATGTCCTCATAACAGCCCACAGGTGGGCACAGCAGGGTCCATGATCATCATCTCCTGGGTGGGGCTCTTCCAGGTAAGCCATCACCTAAGTGTGACACAGTGGGAGAGCCCAGTCCAGGGGGCAGGTGTCCTTCAGGGTAGCCTGGTGTTCTGCCCATTTCACCATGGACTGAGGCTGACAGAAGGCAGCCTTGAAATGAAATGTCTTTTTTTCCAAACGAGGTCTTTCTCAGAAAACTTTTCTCCTAAGTCTCAGAGCTGTGAGCAACTATCAAGGGTGTCCTGGATTTAACAATTTCCTGTCTATGCCTGCCAGGTTCCAACCCACCTGGGAGCCCCTTCCCCTGAGGGTCACCGCCTCCTACACCTGCCTCTCCTTTCTCTGCATCTGAACCTTGTTCCTCTTGCTTCGCCAGGAACTTGGGGGCTTGGCAGGGATGTCACCCCAGGGTTTCAGTGGGCAAGGGGGCTATCCTCAGGACAGGGGAAGGAGCAGTCCAGTCAGGATACCAGAAAGGACTCAAGTTTTTGTTTTTGTTTTACCTAAATTCTTTCCCTTCTCAGCCTCCAGACCTGAAGGCAGCTGCTTGAACCTTTAGATGCAAATATTGATGCTTAAGAAAACCGGCCACTTCAGCAACAGATCTTTCCCCAGGAGAAGCCAAGAACTTGTGTGTCCCCTTCCACGTCCCACACCCCTGATCCCTCTAACACCACTCCTCAACCCAATGATGCAACTAACACTCCCCACTGCAGCCTGCACGGTCTCGTCCAACTCCTGTGATGTGTCTTTGTGTGTGTGTGTGTGTGTGTGTGCGCGCGCGTGTGCTGGCTGTGGTCTTTGTGGCTATCGTTTGTGGATGATATTGTGTTAGTGAACTGTGGACTCACTTTCCTAGGCAGGAGCTGAGCCTTGTCGCCATCGGCTCCCCTCCCCTACTTCCCGTGGACCCCAGTTACCTCCCACTTCCAGGAATCTGCTTCTTCCCTGCGAGACTAGCCCCTTCCCTCCACTTAGGATTGAGTGTAGGTGGGAGCACAGACAGGAGTCTCCAGGCATCTTGGGACCTGGGAAGGTTTGCGTCACCTCCGTTGTCACCTCCATGGACTCCGTCCATTCCTTTTCAAGCACCTTGCTGCCATAGTTCACTCGACCCAAGTCTGTCCTGAGGCCTCTTAGCCATTGTGGGTACATAGCACGGAGCTGGTGGACCCAGCGTTGCCTTCAGGCAGGCTGTGCCCTTCTGTGGTCATTTTCCTCCCGGGGGCTTCCACAGGAGTACTTCCTGCCCTGGCCCTTCACAGAGCGCCCAGGGATTCCAGCCCAGGGCTCCTACTCTGGCCCTGGGGAATGTGCTTCTGCCATATCTTTTCAGCAATAACCCCGTGGGCTCCAGGACCCTGCCCGCTCCAACCTCCCCTGCTTCTGAGACTTCAACCTACAGCCCAGCTAGTCTGGACACAGACTCCTGTCCCTGGAGTTGGGTTTCTGGCAGGTGATGGCTGAAGGCTTCTCATTCTGTTAGGGCCAGCGTGCTGGGCTGGGCAGAGGGACAGTAGGGGGCTTTTGCTTCCCTGCCCAGTCCCCTTGGTCAGGCAGCAGAGACAACTCCTGTACCTTTGCCTGTCAGTGGTCAGAGCAGTGAGTGAGGCAGGTTAGAGACCCAGCCGGGTGACGTACAGTCCCACTGCAGAGGGAACAGCAAGAGGTCATAGGTCATAAAAAGAGTGGGACCTCACACCAGATCCCGCCCCTCCTGTCCTCCGTGTTCCCATGGAAACCAACCAAACCGTGCCGCTGTGACCAGACTGCTGTTTCTCTGTATTGTGATCTATCCTCTCAACAACAGAAAAAGAAAAAAAAAGGAATAAAATACCATTTGTTTCCTAGTGGCTCTGCAGTGCTCTCCTTTCTGTAAAAGAAATTGAGTATTTGTATGGTCTGTGTGGAGCTTAAAGGTCCAAAGAGAGTCCGTCCTCAGTCAGAGGGAGGAAGTGAAGCTGGAAGGCCAGCCAGGTAGTGCAGGTTTATTTCAGCTGCTTTTAGGGTCAACTCCACCCAGCTTCACCTCGCCCCTTCCTTTCCTTCCCCCCTCCTCCATCCACCTTTCCCCCTCTGTTTTACCCCTTCCTTGCCACTGTTCCTCTTCCTCCCTCCCTCCCTCCCTCCCCTCACATCCCCAGGTCACTGGGCTCAGGCTACATCTGGAGCAGGACCATAATGCATCAGAGTAGAGAGAAAAGACAAGTTGCGATGGCTGGGCCAAGCGCTCACTGGCCTGGAAGAAAAAGTTCTAACTTTTCTCTTTGGTCAGTTCTGGGGCCTCAACCTAAGGACTTGAAAAGAAACACTGTGGGTGGGTCACTGGGTTATGCCTGAAGTCCTTACTCTTGTCTTCATCTCAGTCAAATGCCTCCTCCTCCTGGACTTCAGGTAGAATGAGTCCTGTCTTTTGTGCTCCGGTCACACTTGGCTCCTGCGTTTATATTCATGTGTAGTGCTCTAGATACGGGCTCCAAGCTGCAGAGGCCAAGCAGACAAGTGTGTGACTCACTCAGCTGTAGTGATGCAATGGGACACAGGGACCTGGGGTCACCTAGAGTGTCCTTCCAAAGACATTAAAATTTCTTTTTTTTTTTTTTTTAAGTTGAGTCTCACTCTGTCGCCCAGGCTGGAGTGTGGTGGCACGCTCACGGCTTCCCCAGCATTGACCCGCTTGGGCTCCAGTGATCCTTCCAAGTAGCTGGAACTGCAGGTGTGCACTACCACGCCAGGCTAATTTTTGATTTATTGTAGAGATGAGGTCTCACCAAGTTGCCCGGGCTGGTCTCACACCCACAGACTCAGGCAATCCACTTGCCTTGGCCTCCCAAAATTCTGGGATGACAGGCTAAGCTCCCGAGCCTGGCCAAAATTTCTTTTTTTTAAAGTGCTATTGGTCAAACAGCTGCAGCAGATTCCACGCGGAGGTCAACCATGTGCAGCCCCCACCTCTGGTGTTTTGTGTGTCTTTATCGTGGGAGAATTTCTGGAGGGCAGGGACCATGCCGGCTCTAAACAGAATGCCTGTTCAGGTCTCTGGAAAAATCTTCAGAGTCCCGCCTAGCTTTCGTGAGTTGTTCGGTGAGCAAGCCACAGAAACCGAGGGCCTTACAGCCCGGCGTCTCCCTCTCCAGCTCACTCTGTTTTTCCTGCTTATGCTCTTGCTTCTGCCTTTGATCTTTGGGGTCTTTGAAAAGACCTAGGCTTATAGCGGAGATCACATGTGAGCCCAGTGATCACAGTGGTTAAAAAAATCTCTGGTCTCACACTTGCCAAGGAAGTTAGCGACCACCATTCAGGGACGCTTGTTATGCATCGGGGAGTTTACAGACCTTGCAGCAATTTCGGGGTGTGGCCAGACAGACCCTTAGAGGTCCCAGCACACTGTGTGCCTCCCCCATTATTAAAAGCAGAACTCCAACCTTCAAAATAAGTGTAAAGAAGACCAGTAGAGGTTCTGATTTTTCTCTTAATAATTAGGTTAACAGGGAATGATAGTCATGGTATCTAGCATATGTATAAAGTGCTTATCTCTATTTTGCCAAGGTCTACCCACACACTTTGGATTTTCCCATTTTACAGATTCTCCCTGATACAATTGTAACTGGCCCAGGTTACACAGCTGGGGGGCTGGAGGAGCTAAGACTCGGTCCCAGACTTTGTCTCCAGCGCTTTATAGCATATGGCTTCGTCTCCTTCTTCAGGAGAAGGCTGATGGCTCAGGTGAAGGGAGGGGTGACCAGAGACTGGTGAGACATCTGGAGCACGGCTGTCCCTTCAGGACAGGGACTAGCCAGACTGTGCTCTGAGGAGGCTCGTGGGGCAGTGAGTAGCATGGAAACAGAACACATAAAGAACAGTCAAAGGAAACCAGGCGTGATGGCTCACAACTATAGTCCTAGCACTTTGGGAGGCTGAGTGGGGAGGACTGCTTGAACCTAGGAGTTTGAAACCAGCCAGGGCAACTTAGTGAGACCTCACCTCCACACACACACACACAAAAAGTCAAAAACTGACTATCAAAATAGTCATAATTTTAAGAAATTATAACAGCAGCTGACGTTTATGGAGCATTTACTGTGTGCTGGGCTAAGGATTTCTCGCAGATCAACTTAATTCACAACAATACTGTATGCCTCCTTGAGGACAGGGCCACGCCTGGTCTGTTCTCTCAGTCTCCAGGCATGTGACACTCTGGTTTCATGTTGCAATGTAGCTTGGTTGAATGAGAAAGCGATTCTGCAGTGCCATTTCTCAGAAGAGAATGTCGAGGAGTGCCGGATCTCAGAGACCTCAGGCATCCTACACGTTTTGCTTCTCAACTAACTCCCCTTGGCGCCCATGAATTTCCTTTCAACGATTTCCAAGGCTCTTTGCCAGAAGATATTCGTGTTACTTAACACCACTATAAAAATGTGACTGTATCTTCTGGACCCCCAGGTGCTCTGGCCCTCCCACTTTTCCAGGTTTTTTTTTTTTTTTTTTTTTTTGCAGGTTATAGATTAGAATTTGCCAAATTGTTCTTGGAAGAGAGTCAGAGGCAGAGTGTAAGCAGCAGAGAGAGTTGGGGTGAGTGAGGGGGATGCCAGGGCCAAAGCACACCCCAAGGTCACCGGGCTCTTGTCCCCTTCCTCTGGGAAGGAGGGCTCTGCCCTCCCTGGGATCATGCACCCGCCGGGTGGCTGGGCAGAGCCAGGGTCGGGAGGGAGAGCTCTCTCCGCTCTCCAGCTCCATCTGGTTCACCCCACCTTGTCCCTGGCTGCTCCGCCTTACCCTGGGCCCAGCAACAGAGGTCAGGTGTGTTTGCCTGAGCCAGAGGAGGAGCTTTGGAAATATCTGTCTCCAGGCCACAAAGAGGAGGAATGGCCACCTCTCGCCATTAGTGTGATTCATTGCTGTCACAACTGAGCTCCAGGGGGGCAGAATCAGCCAGCTCTAGCCACCCGGCTGTTGATTTAACGGAGCCAACCCCAGCCCCGTGCCTGGTTGCACAACAGCGGAGCACCTGCCAAGCAGGGATGGCAAAGCAGGTGACACTGTGATCGAATGTCCTGAAGGACTTGGGGGTGGCAGGGGCTGTGTGGTGGCCCCCTGCATCATAAGGGAGAACGGACTCCGGCCTCTGAGCCAGGTTTGGAGGCAGCCCAGGGGAGCAGGAGGCTCAGGACATCCTGTGTCCACTTTGCTTTCTAGCTGTGAGCTTGGGCAGACCCCTGCTTCTCTGTCAGTTTCCATCCTAGCTGCAAGGTGAAGCTGGGCCTCCTGCCAGCTGTATCACCCGGAAAAGCCACTGGAACCTCTGTCTCCTCAACTACAATATAACACAAGTTCATTAATATCTTTTCTGTGACCTCACAGGGTCAAAGTGATACAATGGACGTAAAAACGCTCTGAAAATTCTCCATGTAGGTGTCATGCTACTAATACTGGTATGACTGTCTGTTTCCTCATCTCACTCTTTGACAGCAGGGCTCCCTTTCTCTCTGTTAACCTGTACCACCTGCAGTTTCCTCCTCTGGAAAATGGATATTGCAAAGCTCATCTGACTGAGTCGTTGGGAGGAGAAGAAGCTCTTTGGAATCCTGGAGACCATGGGATGGGTGGAATTGTCACCAAGCGAGCAGGGATGGATACCAGACTCAGTGCAGAGATGAACAATTATCAGATATTGTGACTTGAGTTCTCGCAGAGGCCAGAAACTTGGCAATCTGTGTATCAGTGAAAAGAATGATCACACAGCCACATGCCAGCCATTCAAGCCACATCAGTGGAATCCAGAAGGTCATCAAGGAAAGGAAAGAGCAGCGAGAGTTGGACTTGTTCCAGGAGGGCTCCCTGGAGGTGGCGAGCCTCAAGCTGCTTCTCAGGGGTGAGGAGGAGTGTGGTTCCTAGAAGGAGGAAACTACAGCTGGAGAGAAACAGCCTCTGTTGCAGTTCAAACCTAGATGTGAGTTCTGAGCAAAATCAAGAATGCATTTCTCTCCAGGGTATTCACCGTGGGAGAGGTGGGTCAAATGGGTTTGTCCTTGTCACCAGCTAGTGACCTTGACTTTTAGAGTACATTGCCCTTTGGCTGTTCTCAGGCCCTCTGTGCCCCGTGGCTCAGGCCATCTTGAAGCCAACACTTAAGGAATGGACCCTCTGGGGCCCACCTCCTTCCAGCCCCACCTTATAAGACCCCAGTGACCCGGCATCTGCGGCATAGCAGGAGACAGGAGCCAGCGCTCCTCGAGGTTCAGGACGTCTGGGTGGCACAGATGGGGCCTGGGAGCCGCCACCTTCCCTGCCCAGTGGCCGCATGGGTCATGCAGCTGAGGACTGACTTGGGCCAGGAGTCAGGGCTTTCTAGGGACTTCTGGCTTCGGCCTCATCGAAGCCCCTTTCCAGCGACCAGCCAACACCAGGAGGAATGGATTTGGTGGCCTAGCGTTCGAGACCCTGGACTCTGACATGCAGCTCCTGCAAAGGCAAGGGCTGGCAGAACTGGCGAGCCTCGTCTTGGGAAGGCTGGTGATGTTTCCGGTCTGCTGCTTGCCTTTGATCACCAGGGAGACAAAGGTCAGCTGGATGTCCCAGCCTGCTACCTCCCTTCCCCACCAACAATGACCACCTCTGATGACTGCCTTGAGACCTCAGAGTCTGGAGATGAAGGGAGGCCAGCCTTGGGGAGACAGGGGAGATGGAGGGCAGTTCAGGTGCTATCCCATCGGGTGTGACGGTGTGAAAGAGGGATCCAGGAACGGGGCTTCCTCTGCCTACCTCCCAAAGAGCTCCAGGTCTCTGGGTCTTGGGGACACAGGGTAGCACAGCCAGATGTTCGTCTTCATCTCTAGCCTGGCGCAGTCAAAGAAGGGGGCTCCTCTGCCTTACCGCTTAAGACAGCACAGGGGTGCTCCCACCCCAGTCAGCTCCTCTATCTCAAGAAAGACTGGAAAACTGGGGCTGGATGTGGACAGGAAATTATTACGTTCTGGGGTTTGTGCGGCGAGGAAAGGAAGGTTGGAGATGCAGGGTGAGTGGTGACTGGCAGAGTCATGCCAGAGGAAGGGGAGGTTCTCTCGGGATCCTGCCTTAGAGATCACCCTGGCCAGGACTGAACCACGGGAAGGGATTGCAGGGAATGTTCTTGTCTCCTGCGGAGCCAGCTCAGAGTCAAGAGAATGGAGCCGCCATCTGTTCATTGGCGGTGCTCTTGACCCATGCCACGTCTGTTTCTATAGCAAGCTTGCAAGGTAGGTGTTATCATCCCATTTTACAGATGGGAGGAGAAGACCCTGAGAGGTGACCTCCTCCAGGGTCATACAGCTGGAAGGAAAGGATCAGAATGCAGAGGGATTGAAGTGTGGATGTTTCTGGCCCTCAGGGAGCCCCTGCACCAGGGATACTTGGGAGGAGAACTCTCCTGAGTTGAGCTGCTCTCAGGAACTTGGGCCACAGGTATAATAAGGGTAAGGGCCTCTCTGCAGGGGAGGAGAATTCCTTGGAGAGGGGCTTCTTATTCCCCAATGCCATCGAGGACCTGCTGACCTCAGCCTGCTGAAGGAGGACAAGGAAGAAATCTGAGGAAGAGCCGGGCTCAGTGGCCCAGCCTGTAATCCCTCGCTTGGGGAGGCTGAGGTGAGTGGATTGCCTGAGCCCGCGAGTTCGAGACCCACCTGGGCAACTTGGCAAGACCTCGTCTCTACAATAAATCAAAAATCAGCAGGGCGTCGTAGCGCGCACCTGTAGTTCCAGCTACTAGGAAGGCTGAGGCGGAAGGACCGCCAGAGCCCAGCAGGTGGAGGCTGCGGTGGCCGGAAGCGGCCACTGCACTCCAGTCTGGGCGACAGAGTGAGACTCCAACTCAAAGAAAGAAATCTGAGGAAGGACTTGGATGAGAGTGAAGTGGGGGGGGAGGGGTGGGTGGGACCTTCTTGACTTTTAACAAATGCCTGGGCTTCCCCTGAAAGGATAAATGATAATTTCTGAAAATTGCCACAGGCTCAGGAAGGAGGGGAGGCTGGCAGGGAGGAGAGAGGTGAGGATGGGGCACAGAGCCCCGAGAGGGACTCTCGGGGAGTTGTTAGCAGGGTTAGGGTCGCTGACCACCTGCTGTCTCTCTGTGAGGGCACACTGGGGGTCTCGTTCCCTATGGCAGGACAGATGATGGCCTAGAAAGAATGCCACCTTGGACAAGAACCGGGCTTCCTGCACTACCGGCCAAATGACTTGCCCTTGCTGGGACTGGTTCATTTATTTAATAAAACTAGGGGACCACTGTGCTATTCTAGGCACTGGGGATCATGAACAAATAAAATCCTTGCTCTCCTGGGGTTTTCATTCTAGGTGGAAAAGGGACAAACAAGATAAGGAAAAGCTGAGAAATGGGGTGGGTGTGAATGCTTTAAACAAGGATGCCAAAAAGGGTCTTCTGGGAGGGGTCTATGAAGAAAGGCTTGAAGGCAACGTGAGTTAAGCCAGGATGCCCTCAGAGGCAGAATATTCAGAAAGCAGGAGAAGCCAGTGCAAAGATCCTGTGGCAGAAGTGGACCCTGGAGGGTAAGGGACTGACAAGGAGACCAGTAGCCCGGAGCGAGAAGAGGGATCCGAATTGGATGAGGTTGCAGATTTCACAGAGGATGGTAGCGCCCGAGGAATAATGGAAGGGGATAGTCGTGTGGAAAAGAGTTGGTTTAATCGAAATGGTGTATGTCTGATAACACATTTGCTGTCCATTTGACTACATGAATAGTTAGTTTTGTTGGATATTCCTGTGTGGGACAGGTTCTAGTTGATTATGGTTTTTCAGTCTGAAAGAATTGATTTTCTGTACATGCTTATATGCATGGGGTAAGTAGGTTAATGCACGATTAAACATATATGTCTTATGTAAAGTTATAAGTATATAGTACTAATACATATTCATGGGGAGGAGCACTAAATGCACGATATACATATGGTTATGTACAATTTTGTTAATACTGACATGTTATATAAGAATGACTAAGTTGTATAAGTATACAGGGAATAGTTTATAAAGAATGCCAGCTTTGGGGGTTGGTGGTGGGGTATAGAGCCTCTTCCTTGAGGTGAGAGTCCTAGGGAGGTTGTTTCCTTCATTTTTGGTTTACAAGACCAAGGTAACAGGAATGAAGACTGTAGGGCAGTGAAGTCCGAGACAAGTTCAGAGGGCCCTAGAGTCAGATGAAGAAGGACTTTTTAGGACACAAAAAGGACTGGCTTATACTCTGAGCTCTTGGATGATTTTGAGCAGGAGAGTGAACCGTTTGTAAAGTGAGGGGTCTGGACGGGTGGCCTAGGGGCTCTTTCCAGTTAGCCCAGTTGTAATATGAGTTCTCGGGGATCACAACATCTTCCTTCAGGGCTCTGGGATCAGGTAAGTCACGTGGAATGCATATACCAGAGCGGGGGGTGGTTCCCAGCTGAGACTCCACTTTTCTAGCCACCGATAATGTGTTTGGACTGGGCACCTTTAAAGTATTTTCTAGCTGAGAGATTTAGGAACTCCTAAAGTGCCCAGCTGGGGGAGTGCCGCCCGGCAGTCCCAGGCTGTCTGAGCCTGTAGGTATCTATCGGCGCATGTGCGAGGGTGTGGGGAGGGCTGCCTGCTGAGATGGTGCTGAGCCCTTAGTCTGGAGGAGCCTGGGGTCAGGGCTGCTGCTCCCACCCCAGGACATATCTCAGTCCATGGGATAACCCCCTCTAGGCCTCCGAGTCTCTATCCTCAGAGGTTTCCAGCCCCAACAAGGCTCCCTGGGGGTGTCACTAGTCCTCTCCTCAGGGCAGTGACTGTTGCTAAGGAGGGACAGAGAGGCAAGTTGTCAGAGTGACCAGAGCGAGGATTACAGGTGGGGCCAGGACCAGCCCCCCAGACTCGGCTTCTCAGAGTCCGTGTTGGAGTACCTGGATGCCCACAGGAAACTGAAGGAGCTCCTGTAACCCCCAAGTCAGCCGCAGAGAGACAGCTTGCCATGGCCTCCACCCTGTTGTGGGACCATCAGAAGCCTCAGTGACCAGAGAACTCCGCGGAGCCAGCATGGCAGGCTGCCCTATGTGATGGGCTGCCCTGAGTGGTGGGCTGCCTGCCCTGCAGGGTGGGCTGCTGGCTCCTGGCTCCATCCCTGCCCTGGGACTAGGAGTGCTGTCTTCCGGCCGCTCCCCTCTGGCACCAACCAGCAGCCCTCAGAGCCTCATTAGGTGGCTGGTGTCTTGGGCTGTATCCTCTAAGGGGTGGTGGGAGGTCCTGACATTACAGCCTGGGTAAGTCACGGGGGCTAAGTGATGGGGTCCCGGCTGGGAAAGGCCGGGCCTTGGGCACCACCTCCACACCAGCCCCAGCTCCCAGCCCCACAGTACTCTGTCTCTCTGCCAGTTACCAGAGTGACACAGGAAGTTGGGCTGGCACCCCAGGTCCCAGAACATGGCCCTGAAAAACACACCCCACCAAGAGGCTGCTGCTATTCTGTCCCATTGCAGGGGAGTCCTGGCTACAAAGTAGGGCTTAGGACAGGATACCTCAGGGCAAAGGCCCGACCGTGCTGGAGTATGCAGGTGCAGCTGAGTGAAGCTCAGGGGATCCATGAAACGCCCCTAGGTGTTTCCCTCAGTCTCCGCCAGCCCAGGGCCCTGGCGGAGAGTGGGAGCTCTGGTTCTGCCAGTCCCACCCCTAGCCCGTGTCTTTCTGGCTCCTGGCAACCTTTCTGGGCACCCAGAGCTGCCTGCAGGGTGCCGGCTGCAGCATGGGGCCCCTGGGGGAGCAGGGCCAGCATGGGGTCTGTGGTCTGCTTTGCTGCATGGAACCCTCCCCTTCCTCAGGTGCCAGGTGGAGGCCAGAGAGTCTCTCCCGGCTCACGTGATCCCTTGTTCAGCCCGCCCTAGCAGGCAGGCACAAGGTGAGGGCTCCATGGCCAGCCCCTCCTCCTTGCCTGTCTCTTCCTGTTGGAGGGCTCAGCTGAGGTGTGGTAGGAAGGAACGTCACTTTTCCATCCAGGCCCGGACAAGGGGCACCTCGCTTCTCTCCTGCACTCACGGACACAGCCCACAGCGCCTGCCATGGACAGGTGGTACCTGGGTGAGTTCCCTGCACCCTGCTCCTCCCCGCTTCTAGGGCTCTGACACAGGAGCCCACCCCATCACTTTCAAGGGCGCCCGTCAGCTCCCCAGAAGTGCAAGAAAAGTAGAGACAAAGAGAGGTAGAACTTCCAAATAAGGGCACTTCAGTATGAAGTCACGGGCCTGCTCTGATGGGTTCAGGGCACCTCTGAGGGATGAAAGCTGGGGCAAAGCCCATCCAGCAGCCATGCCATCTCTCTCTGCAGCCAGACTGCTGACGTCAAAGCTTGCCACCCTCCCCTTCCTAGCTGCTTCACCTCTCTGTGCCTCAGTTTCTTCCTCCGGGAAATAGAGGTGATAATAATACCTTCCTTGCCTCATAAAGTAATCGGGATGACTAAAGAGTTAATTTCTGTAAAATGCTTGGAATCGTGCCTTGCATACAGTTCAAAGATGCAGCTGTTAGTAGGATTCCCTACTGCCTCCTGTCTACCTAGATCAAGCTATCTTTTGTCCATATCTAGTCTCTATCTATCATCCACCTACCTCTACCTACCAACTTCCCACATGTTTTTATGTCTCTTATTATTCCAGAAAAAATTCATGGTTGTTTACAAAGACAGACACACCACAAAAAGACAACACGAGAATGTATAAGGGGCACTATTGTCCTGTGTAGAGTGTGGCAGGATCTCAGTAGCATACCCGTGAAGGTCTGGGCTTCCTAGTTCTGGCCTGTGTTCACTGTATGTTTCTGGCAAGTCCCTTCACCTCTCTGCCCTCAAGTTTTCTGAGGATCCCTAGTGGGCATCATGGCACTGTCCTGGTCACCCCCAGGGGTTGTTGTGGGAAGTAAATGATTAGCCTCAGTTTCTTTATCTGTAAAATGGAGCTAACAAGGATTAAGTGGGTCAGGTCATGTAGAAAGCCTGGTGCATGGTCCACCTTTACCAAACCTTAGTTCTGCATTAAGATTTTTTTTTTTTTAAGTTGGAGTCTCACTCTGTCACCCAGGCTGGAGAGCAGAGGCACACGCACGGCCACCCCAGCGTCGACCTGCTGGGCTCCGGTAATCCTTCCGCTTCAGCCTTCCAAGTACTATAGGCACATGCTACCACTCCCGGCTAATTTTTGATTTATTGTAGAGACGAGGTGCTGCCAAGTTGCCCGACCTGATCTCGAACCCATGGGCTCAGGCAGTCCACTTGCCTCGGCCTCCCAAAGTGCTGGGATTACAGGCTGAGCCACTAAACCCGGCCTGCAGTAAGATTTTCAGAAAAAAAAAAAAAAATCCCTTGACTCTGAACACAGAAGGGAGCTGAACAGTGTCACAGCTCCTGATCTGCAGGGCCATGACATTCTTTTTCTCCTTCTCAGTCATTCATGTGCATTTTTATCAGAGGGTGGTTGGCTTTTCTACATCCAGAATTTAACATTCAACAAAAGGTGAATGCCTGTTACTTCTCCAATCAACACAAACTTAACTAGAAATAATGAATCTTCCTGTGTGCCGGACCCCATGCTATGCTCACTTACACACATTTTCCCTCACAGCCACCCTAGGAGGTGGGCACTAGGCCCATTTTACAGATGAGGAGACAGGCACAGAGAGGTTAAGTAACGGACAGAGGCCGTACAATTAGCAAGCAAGGGAGCCAGGATGTGAGCTCAAATGCTGACCCCTGCCATTGCTTAAGGACTCACAAGGCACCTCTGGGGGACACCAACCACTGGCCTTGGCTTTGTGGCTACCACTGGGCACCTGTCTCTTCTTGGGGACAATTTAATGGACAGAAATCAAGGAGGATTGTGCAGTACCCACGGAGTGCCAGCCCCTGGAGTCCCACGGTGAAGGTCACAGTGGAGTGGGGAGGGCACCTGGGAGCGTGAGAAACACCTGACTCCTGCAGCCAAAGGCCTGGCTGTCAGTCCCTGCCTCGCCTCTCATTGGCTGTGTGACCTTAGGCAAGGCCTTCCACCTCTCTGTGCCTCAGATGTGAAACAGGAACTCACACAAAGCTCAGTGGGACGACAGTGAGGAAAGTGCTTGGTAAGCCATAAAAACAGGGTGTTCTCCCCTACGACGAGTCTTGCCCCTTCCTTGAGGAGCCTACAGTGCACTGGCAACTGGTAAACTGGCATGCAAACAACCCAAGAGCCAGGCCAAAGGCTTGTAGGGGGCAGGGCCAAGGCGGCAGAGAAGGAGAGCTTAGCTGGGGGCAGCTGGAGCCCTTTGACCCTTCGGAGGTGTGAGCTGCTGGGCTCACCTCGACAGCTGAATAAGACAGCACAGGGAGGGGTCCTCCCGCAGCAGAGACTTGGAGGGTGAATGGCTGGTGGACACAGGGGTCCTCAAGGAATGTGGTGGGAGGAGACGCTGGCCAGGCCCCTCCCAGCTGCAGTGGTGGCTATTGTGTTGGGCACTGTGGGGGCTGGGGACTCCTGTGGGACCCTGATACTTGCCCCAGAGCTCTCAAGCAGAGTCTACACTGAGCATATTTAGAAACTTCCACTTCCCCATTCCTAGTGCCCAGCTGGGGCTTCTCTGTCTGGTGGAAGAACACCACTGCTAACCCACCCGGTCCTTCTCTTTGGAAATTTCCTCTGGGAGGGTTTAGAAGCTCAGCCAGCCCCTCCCTACCCCTGCTCCCCAGGCCGCCTCCCGGGAGCCCCTCTGTCCACACCACAACTTTTCTTGTGACCAGGGTAAATATTACCTGGCACTGTTAATGTTTAATGCCCCCTCCTTGTCCGCGGCCACCCCACGGCCGGACACTCTCCCTGAAGCAGAGGAAGCAGGAGGAGGGTGGTGGAGACGAGTCCATTCGGCTGGGGCAATGGCAGGGCTGTCAACGGACGACGGTGAGTGTGCGTGTGCCTGTGCGTGTGCCAAGCAGGGGTGGCTCTGCGTGGCCCACCTTTGGAGGGGTGAGCAGGACCCCAGCTTCCCCCTTCTGGCACCCCTGCCTTCTGGAGTACCCAGCCCCCACCAGTGCCCGCCTCCCCTCTGAGAGAATTTACATCTTAAAAGAGGCCTCTGCCTTAGCCCCAAAGAAATAAAAGGTGGATGGCAGAACTTCCCAGAGATGGGCTGAGCATCCACCCTGGAATCGGCATGCACCTGCTCTGGTCCAGTGTGTCTTGTTAGACCACCTGTACTTGGAGCAGGGGGTGCCCAAAGATCCGTCGGCTGGCGGGGGAAGCGGGTCCCTCTGGTCAGCCTTCCCAAGCTGGATTTGGGGTGAGAGTCCCCCAAGCTCAGGACACACTCCCCAAGGCATCCTGTGATGGAGATGACTAGGCCTGGAGGCCCACAGGGCACCTCTGACTGAGATGGGTTTGAGCCAGATCTAGAAAAGGAGAGGGCATTGGGTGGGGGAGGGGCTCATCAAACAGCTCGAGGAGGTGGTCGGGAAGGAGGTGGTTTCCTAGGGTGGTGAGGAGAGTCCTGGCTATGATGCTAAATCCTCATGTGACCTTGAACAAGACCTGAGCCAAATCTGGGAAGACAACTTGAAGGCCTTCTACAGGGGACAGGACTTCGCCTCTGGCCTTTCTGAGCAACCTGTATCTCAGGTCTTCAGGACCCAGCACTGAGCCTTCTGACCTGTTGTCTCCTGGCCTAGGGGACAGCAGGGCACCCAGGCTCTGAGGCCTCCCACTGCCTGGGACACACTTTGACACAGCCAGGGAGGTGTCTGAGATACACAGTCCTTAGGCCTCAGGCACTACCGCCCTGGTGCCAAGCAGGGCAGGAAAGAGGGGCACCGCCCTGGTACCTCAGCCGGGGCAGAACAGCCCTGGCTAGGGCATTGTTACTCAGCTGCAGGGCTGGAGAGCAGCTCCCCGCGGTGAGGGTAGGAGGGAGGCCACCAGGGGCAGGGCCAGGATCAGGTGGGGGGCCTTGTTGAATGAACTCCTTCCTTCCTACCATCCGAGAGGCGGCACAGCAAAGGGCTTAAGAGCCTTAGCAACCTACTGCCTGGGTTCAAATCCCAGCTCGATCCCTTATGAGCTATGTAACTGTGGGTGAGTTACTTAGCCTCTCTGTGTCTCCATCCTCTCGTGGATTATATTGGAATAATATGAATGCCTCCTAGGGCTGTTATAATGGCTAAATGGACTCATGTTTTGTTAGCTTTCTCCTAGTGCGTGGCAAGCACTATATGTTAATGGTTCTTAACTAAATCTGCTTCCCCTGAGGATGGCAACATAGAAGAGCAGAACCTAGGAACTTAAATCAAGACCCAGTCCTGCCTCCAACTTCCGTCAGGACTTTGGACAAGTCTCGCAACTGGGGCTCAGTTTCTTCCTTCTGTCTGATGAACTTTAAGGTTCTATTTTACTCATGCACTACTTTCACAAATATTTACTAAGCACCTTGTGGCCGATTCATTCTACAAAGCCAGGCTGCGGGTGGGTCTGGCAGAAGTTGTCTTTCTTGGCCTTGTCTTGCTATGGAATGAAGAGGGAAGTAGGGAAGAACCAGCCCCTCCCGGAGTCGCTAGAGGCCCCCACACAGCTGGATCCACGCTTTGGTGCTTGGCATTTGTGTCCAAAGCAGCCTAGGGTGATGCCCTCCGATGGCAGAGGTTTTAGCACCAGCACTTGGACCCTTGGGAGTCCGCTGGGAAGGGAAGGGCCATGAGTTCCCACTGTTCCCGTGGCCTCCCCCTCATCCCACCTCTGGCTCTCTCCTCAGGCGGCAGCCCCAAGGGGGACGTGGACCCATTCCACTACGGTAAGCCTGGCGGGCTCCTCCCCACCCCTCGTGAGCCCTCAAGCCCCCCTCCCACAAGCAGCAGAGTCCCGGCCCCTCCCAGTCCTGGTCTGTGCGCCTCTCCCCCAGTTCCCACGGGGCTGTGCCTGGTGGGCACTGGGAGAGACCACCCATCCCGCCTCTCTTGCCCTCTCTTTCCCGAGACTATGAGACCGTCCGAAATGGGGGCCTGATATTCGCTGGCTTGGCCTTCGTCGTGGGGCTCCTCATCATTCTCAGTAAGTGGCTGGTCTCATGAGGAGGGGGGAGTCTCCCCGCCCCCACTCGCACACCTCCCCCATGCAGGATGTGGGGATGGATGCCAGGCGACTTGGACCTTGGACCAGGGTGTGAGGTTGCCTCTTCCTCTAGCGTGCCCTCTAGTGGACCCGGGAGGAGCTGCCGAGAAGGGAACACTGGCTGGCCAGGGAAGAGGAACTGGGTCCCTGGCCAGATCTGACACTGTCTTAGGCTTAAGCTACGTCTTAGCCCATTTCACCCTCTCAGCAACACTGAGGGATGCCACTACTGCCAGTATTTAACAATTGAAAAATCAGACCCACCCTGAGAGGTGCAGCAACTTGCCCGAGGTTCCACCACCCTTCAGAAGCAGAGAACCCAGGTGCCTCCCACTCCCCTGGAAAGCGCGTGTGGCCGGGGGCGAGACCCTTGGCTGATGCTAACTTTCCATGGATCCGAAACTCCCCCGGGTCTCAGTTTGTGTAACTATCTATTAAATAGGGATGATCCCACTTGGCTCACAAGATTAGGGCCAGTCTAAAAATATGGTGGTCAAGAAAGTACTTTAAGAAGGGTCCAGGCTGGGCTCGGTGGCTCAGCCTATCATCCCAATACTTTGGGAGGCCGAGGCGAGTGGATTGTCTGAGCCCGCGAGTTCGAGACCAGCCTGGGCAACTTGGCGAGACCTCGTCTCTACAATAAATCAAAAATTAGCCGGGTGTGTTAGTGCGTGCCTGTAGTTCCAGCTACTGGGAAGACCGAGGCAGAAGGATCACCAGAGCCCAGCAGGTCGATGCTGGGGTGGCCATGGGTGTACCACTACACTCCAGTCTGGCTGACAGAGTGAGACTCTGACTCAAAAAAAAAAGGAAAGAAAAGAAAAGAAGGGTCCAGTACAGACATGGAGTGGTCTAGGGGAGAGAAGCATTCTTATATTCCCACCAGCCCCAGCAGGCACACAGCAGGAACTTAATAAAGGCTTGTTGACTTGTTTTGATGTGATCAAAAGAACAAGACACAGAAAACTAGTGAAGGCACATGTGTAGCAAGCACGCCTCGGTGTTCCGGCATTCCAATGCACGGTCACTGCCACTCTATCTGAGGGCTCAGACTGTAGGAACCGCTGGTCTCCTTGACTTACCTGCTGTAAGGCCTCAAGGGCAGTGCTGGGTAGTGGTTGAGCACACAGGGATAGGAGACAGACGGACCTGAGCCGGGATCTCAGCTTTGGACTTATTGCCGCCCTCCTCCAAGTGTTTATGGAACAGCTTCTATGTGCCCAGCTCTGTGCTGGGGGCACCATGATGGTCCAGCCGCCATTCTTGGCACACTCACAGCCACCACGAATCTGCTGTAGGGAATGTCGACTGACTGACTTTGGCTCTTGAATGCTTATGGTCCAGCCCTAGGTAAAAAGAGAGACAGTCAATTGTGGCCTCCAAGCCTGATACCCTGGTGATGCTGGCAGGAGCGGGGGAGGAGACCCCGGAGGCGTTGAGTCTCTCGGGGTCTCCCTGGAAAATGAAGAGTCCAGGGAAACAAACCTCCTTGTCTCTTTTCAAGGCAAAAGATTCCGCTGTGGGGGCAATAAGAAGCGCAGGTGAGTGGTGCTGGGTAACTGACAGTGGGGCGGGACTGGGAAGGAGGGGCAAGCCCAGGATTTTGTCTCTGTGGCCATGGAGGGGTCCCCACCTTCAGGGGTCCCCATCCCCTCCCCACTGCTCTCCTACCTGTTACTTCCTTCCCTGTCCTAGGCAAGCCAATGAAGATGAGCTGTAACAGCAGGTATGTTGGGAGGGGGGAGGCTGGGGATGGCTGGGAAGGAGTGAGTAGGGGCGGGGCGGGGCGGGGAGGTTGCCGGCTGGGGAGGCTGGGGAGAAACGGAGGAATGGGGGGGGGGCAGACGGGAGGATGGGGATGGGTGGGGAGGAGCAGGCAAGGCAGACTGGGAGGGGACGGGAGGGGCAGGCTGGGGGGCAGCAGGGAAGACTCGGACTCTAGGATCGGGCCGGGAAGAATGTTAGGGTCATCCACACGTCAATCAGGTAACCTTCGTGTGTTTGAAAGTGATTGCCAGCTGGGCTCGGTGGCTCAGCCTGTAATCCCACGCCTTGGGAGGCTGAGGTGAGTGGATTGCCTGAGCCCGCGGGTTCGAGACCCGCCTGGGCAACTTGG